AATGTGTTTAACGATGAGTTTTACTATCAAGAAAATAACATCCTGAGTACAAACCTCGTCCATTGAGTCAATGATCTTGGACAACTGGACATCATTCAGGTCCTTCAGAGTACGAGACCTGAGACAAAATACACAGAATAGAGCTGAAGGGTCGGAAATAGTTGTTACATGGCGCTGGGGAAAAAGAATTGCAACAGTGTCATGGTAGAATTTTATAGTTGGAGGAGACCCCCAAAGAATAGAGCAACATTGTGAGATAATAGTTTCCAAAACGTTTAGATAAAATATGCTGATCTTAAATCCCTAGCAGTGAGTCTTTAGAGTAAACTCACGTCTTCAGGAAGCCCATGAGCTGTTCACGTTTCTTCTTGGACTTGTTGGTTATGATCGTCCTGTAGGTCTGACGCTCCATGCACCATAGACGCACCACTGTCTTTGCTGCAACGTGAGCGATACAGTCGTTAGAAAAGAGAATGATTGAATAGTCCTTGATTAGACCAAACTCTACTGCACACTAAAGAAAGGAAATTGTTTACCAACTTTGAAAAAATACTTCAATTCTTTTTCCAAATTATAGTCATCAATTGCGTTGATATAAGTTAAACAAACTTTACTCATCTGCATGCTACCAACTAAAGTAATTTTTTAAGTAATCCCATGGCGCCACATATAGTAAATCACACAATAAACTTCTGTGAATGGCCACAGAATAAAGTAAGCTGTCCCATTACAGAGGCTGACCTTTGACCGTTGCTGTCCGTTTGCAGTTGTACAGGATGGCGAGCTCCCCAAACACATCACCGCTGGTTAGAGTCCGGAGGTCCTGGCCCGCCTGGGTGACAAGGAGCTCCCCAGCTACAGAATCATGTAGAATTTCGAATATATTTTAGTGTATTTACTACATATTAAATCATAATGTAAAACGTTGGAACATTGCTTTACACTTGTCCCCACCTGCCACGATGTACATGCGGTCTCCTTCAGAGCCCTCTTTTATCACTTCCTCGCCTGGTTTGTAGTCAGATACCACCAAGAGGTCCACCATCATGGCGGTTTGTTCATCGTCCAGGCGGCTCAGGAAGTCGTTCTTCTGGATGGATTTCACGATCACATTGGTCTCGCTGGTTAGGGAAGGTGAGAGAGGTCATGCTGGGAAAGCTCCCATGAAACATAAAAACAGGTCATACATTATATACGTGTTTGACGTGCTGGAGTGTCACAGTCGATTTGGCAAATCGTGTGCCGTCTTATTAAAATGGGTTATGCTCTCATCAGAAGCTCTGATTACCAACCTGACAGTTTTCTTGACCCTGGTGCCTGTAATCTCCAGGGTCTCGTGGATCGGCTCGGAGGCAATGACGGCCGCACGGCTCTTCCTGACCTGTGGTTCAATCTCATTACCGCTGTTGGAGGGGAACTCTGCAACATACAAACACAGTCACACTAATGGAGCCTTTAATACTGTAAACGGCTGCCATGTTTCAGCCAAATGTAGAGTCAAAGTTCACCTTTATAATACGTGTGTGTGTGTATGTGTGTGTGTGTGT